TTCGTGTTCTCAACATCTCGCCCAAATCTGACTAGCTACTTCCGGTCTTCCCAAATTTGGCTTAATAATAAAACAAACAACGTAAGAATTATTCCTATCATCATGGGACTATTTAAATATCAGGTTAATTAATTTAAATATGCTAATTGGGTCATTAAGGTGTTCGGTGATACGGTAATTACCGATTTGTCTCAGACGGATAGCATGTTTTGGTGACGTTGTAAATAAGAGCGAGAGAGAGAGAGAGAGTGTGTCATATGCACGCGTGTTCCCCCCTTCGGCATTCCCGGGAACAGGAATGGGAATTGATCACCAGCAGAATGCAGTTGAGGGGGTGAGGGAGCCGCTATGACAAAGCCTTTGGGTAGAATACACGCATTTGAGGGCAAGCCTTGCGGTGATTGGTCCTTCTCTCACATAACAGCTGATTCTGCCTCTCCAGTACATGAAGTATTGTACCAGTCTAACTTAATCTATCACAGACATTATTATTATTATTATTATTACTATTATTATTATTATTATTATTATTATTATTTTTATTATTATGATTTTTATTATTATTATTATTATTATTATTATTATTATTATTATTTTATTATTATTATTATTATTATTTAAACATAACTTAGACAGTGGGAAGAATTCTACCTGATGTCTTAATACACAGGACTAATCAACACTTCCTACCCGGATGCGCATGGATTTTACTTTTATTTTTTTAGCGTCCTACCTTTGAGATTGGTGTATATGTTGGACGGTATTGACATAATGACGTCACTGTTAGCCACGACCAATCAGAGCACTTGAAGCCCCAATACCCGTGGAATTTGTGTTTTAACGGCCTTAAGAATGTGGGAATTGATGTACTTAGGCTTAAGTAGATGGTATGTTAAGGTCTGAAGGGGCAGTGTGACGGTGACCTGTGCTGTGTGACAGTGACCTGTGCTGGTGCTGTGTGACGGTGACCTGTGCTGTGTGACAGTGACCTGTGCTGGTGTTGTGTGACGGTGACCTGTGCTGGTGCTGTGTGACAGTGACCTGTGCTGGTGCTGTGTGTGACCTGTGCTGTGTGACAGTGACCTGTGCTGGTGCTGTAACGGTGACCTGTGCTGGTGCTGTGTGACGGTGACCTGTGCTGGTGTTGTGTGACGGTGACCTGTGCTGGTGCTGTGTAACGGTGACCTGTGCTGGTGCTGTGTAACGGTGACCTGTGCTGGTGTTGTGTGACGGTGACCTGTGCTGGTGTTGTGTGACGGTGACCTGTGCTGGTGCTGTGTGACAGTGACCTGTGCTGGTGCTGTGTGACGTGACCTGACGGTGACCTGTGCTGGTGCTGTGTGACAGTGACCTGTGCTGGTGCTGTGTGACGGTGACCTGTGCTGGTGCTGTGTAACGTGACCTGTGCTGGTGCTGTGTGACGGTGACCTGTGCTGTGTGACAGTGACCTGTGCTGGTGTTGTGTGACGGTGACCTGTGCTGGTGCTGTGTGACCCTGTGCTGGTGCTGTGTGACGGTGACCTGTGCTGGTGTTGTGTGACGGTGACCTGTGCTGGTGTTGTGTGACGGTGACCTGTGCTGGTGCCTGTGCTGGTGCTGTGTAACGGTGACCTGTGCTGGTGTTGTGTGACGGTGACCTGTGCTGGTGCTGTGTAACGGTGACCTGTGCTGGTGTTGTGTGACGGTGACCTGTGCTGGTGTTGTGTGACGGTGACCTGTGCTGGTGCTGTGTGACAGTGACCTGTGCTGGTGCTGTGTAACGGTGACCTGTGCTGGTGTTGTGTGACGGTGACCTGTGCCGGTGCTGTGTGACGGTGACCTGTGCCGGTGCTGTGTGACGGTGACCTGTGCTGTGTAACGGTGACTTGTGCTGGTGCTGTGTGACGGTGACCTGTGCTGACGGTGACCTGTGCCGGTTCTGTGTGACGGTGACCCGTGCTGTGTGACGGTGACCCGTGCTATGTAACTGACCTGTGCTTGTGCTGTATGACGGTGGCCTGTGCTGGTGCTGTGTGTGACTTGTGCTGTGTGACGGTGACCTGTGCTGGTGCTGTGTAACGGTGACTTGTGCTGGTGCTGTGACGGTGACCTGTGCTGTGTGACTGTGACTGTGACTGTATGACGGTGACCTGTGCTGTATGACGGTGTGAACGGTGACCTGTGCTGGTGCTGTATGACGGTGACCTGTGCTGTATGACGGTGACCTGTGCTGGTGCTGGACGGTGACCTGTGCTGGTGCTGTATGACGGTGACCTGTGCTGGTGCTGTATGACGGTGACCTGTGTATGACGGTGACCTGTGCTGGTGCTGTGTGACGGTGACCTGTGCTGTGTAACGGTGACCTGTGCTGGTGCTGTATGACGGTGACCTGTGCTGTGTAACGGTGACCTGTGCTGGTGCTGTGTGACGGTGACGGCTGTGTGTGTGCGTGTGACGGTGACCTGTGCTGGTAACGGTGACTGTGCTGGTGCTGTATGAACGGTGACCTGTGCTGTGTAACGGTGACCTGTGCTGGTGCTGTGTGACGGTGACCTGTGCTGTGTAACGGTGACCTGTGCTGGTGCTGTGTGACGGTGACCTGTGCTGTGTAACGGTGACCTGTGCTGGTGATGTGTGACGGTGACCTGTGCTGTGTAACGGTGACTTGTGTTGGGTTAAAGTGATTCACCTGTGTATATCAAGTTATACATCTCTCTCTCTCTCTCTCTCTGTACCCATATAAACACACACGCCTGACCATGGTATTCGTACAAGTATATAAACCACTTCTATAGACAACCAATATAAATGTCACACGTTTCTTAGCACATCTACAGTATATATCAACAAGGTCAGCTACATATTCCTACACAGAACGACAGGGTTTGTTTCTTCGTCCACACCTGTCTAGACACCTTGTTACACCTGGTGATTTACACACCTGTCATTTTACAGTTCCACATTGAAAAGTGTAGCCAGAACCAGACATCAGTGTATTCAGAAACAAACATCAGAATGTTTCTCAGGATAGTTTTAAGTCGATGGTGCGGTCAGTTTAGCAAGACGGCAGGTGTCACTTCACCCACCAAGACCCTCACTGACCTGCCAGCTGACGAAGGTGTTGGTGACGCGGCTGACCCTGGTGTTAAGGTATAATACTGCACATTAGATTTACTGTACCAGGTTTCGTTTTGAAGAGAAGATGCAATATTTTTTTGGAGTGAAATAAGAATCTAGAAGTGTGTATGTCTGTTGATACATATTTAGCTTGTTAAAACTAAGCGTACCAGGATTAAAATTAAGCGCAGCATGATTAAAATTAAGAGCAACAAGTGTAAAATTCAGTGTAAGAGAATAAAAACAAAGCGTATTCTCGTTTGTTGGTTTTACCTGATTCAGATCTTGCTAAGACAGAAGTAAACCTTAAAGACTGTACGTGTATTATTATTATTGTTATTAATATTATTATTATATTATTATTATTATTATTATTATTATTATATTATTATTATTATTAATTTTATTATTACTATTTTTATTATTATTATTATTATTATTGTTATTATTATATTATTATTATTAATTTTATTATTATTACTATTTTTATTATTATTATTATTATACACGAAAAAGTACGAATGTAAATTCGTAAGTAATTAATAATCAATAATAATTAAAATACGGTATAATCTGTGGGTAAGAGGGCATCAACGCCTATTTACAAGTTTTTACTCTACCCGAAAAAGTCATATCATTGGTCTACGCTGCCATAACTGATGCACAAACGTCAATCAATCAATCAGAGTACCGTTATCATGTCTGAGGGTTGGCGAACCACTCTAAACGTTCTCTGGCTACTTTTACCACTTCTCTAAGGTTTTGTATCTCTCTGGGGACCCAGTTTTTAATATCTTTCATCCATCACAGTCTCTGCCTTCCCCTGGCCCTCCTACCCTCAACTTTTCGCGCGCGCGCACACACACACACACACACACACACACAGTTTCATGGCCCTTTTAAACCACTGATATGACCCAATTAACACAAGACACGTATCGTTTGAACTCTTTAATGGTGTGAGGTGAACGTGTCCAGCCTTATCGAGGAAATACCTACTGATCAAACGAACGATTACTATAAAGACCATTAATTATATTTTATGATAACATGTGTTGTGGGGTATCTTAGACTGCGATAACTTAATCTTTTACAGTACGATGACTTGAGTACGATGACTTGCTCCCTTAAGTACGATAATTTAATCCCTCTAGTACGATGACTTACTTCTTTGAGTAAAATAACTTAATTCCTGGAATACAGTAATTCAAAGGGTTGAGACATCGTACTTAAAGGGTTAAAAATGTATACTCAAAGGGATTAAGCTATTGTACTTAAAAGTTAATATATTGTACTCAACTTATTAATAGACACACACACACACAGAAGATGTAATTTAGTCGCTCAGGAAAAAATCGTATTTCTTGACGGGAGTTATGAGTGCAGGACGGTAAGTAGCTCCCCCATCATCTCCTTGACACAACCCGTAATTAAGTTTGTCTTACGTGACCTTCAATTTAACTCATGAATTTTAATTTGGTATGATGATGATGTTGATGATGATGATAAAACAATGGTGTTTTGATTACAGTAATAAAAGTAAAATAAAAAAAATTATAATAATATCATTATCATTAGTATCGGGAATGTTAATACTTATTTTGATCATGTTTTGGTGATTTTATTTATGATGAATTTTATTGGAATATTTAAAGGTGATTTTGATGGGAATATTTAGTGATTTTATTATTTGTGATTTTAAAGAGTATTTCTATTTGTGATTGTGAAGCCGATTTTTGACGGTGATTTTGAATACAGATTTGATAAGAGAGATAATTATGATGTTTATTTTGAATATTTTAATGATAAATTTGAATAGACTTTAAAAAAAAAAATAACTACTGATTTTGGTGACAATTTTGATGGTGCTTTATACACTATGATGTGTATTATCCACCTCAAAGCCCGGCAGTATCCAGGAGAGAGATAGAACAGGCAAGACCGCCCTACACTATTGTGCTGAGAACCCCACTCTCTCCTGTATAGACCAGGTGAGTGTGTTACCTGTGTACCGCGCCTATTTGAGTTGTTTGTTACCTTTGTACCACACCTGCTGGAGTGTGTTACCTGTATACCGCACCTGCTTGAGTGTGTTACCTGTGTACCGCACCTGCTTGAGTGTGTGTTACCTTTGTATTGTACCTGCTGAGTGTGTGTTACCTGTGTACCGCACCTGCTTGAATGTGTTACCTGTGTACCGCACCTGCTTGAGTGTGTGTTACCTTTGTATTGTACCTGCTGAGTGTGTGTTACCTGTGTACCGCACCTGCTTGAGTGTGTTACCTGTGTACCGCACCTGCTTGAGTGTGTTACCTGTATACCGCACCTGCTTGAGTGTGTGTTACCTTTGTATTGTACCTGCTGAGTGTGTGTTACCTGTGTACCGCACCTGCTTGAATGTGTTTCCTGTGTACCGCACCTGCTTGAGTGTGTGTTACCTTTGTATTGTACCTGTTGAGTGTGTGTTACCTGTGTACCGCACCTGCTTGAGTGTGTTACCTGTGTACCGCACCTGCTTGAGTGTGTTACCTGTATACCGCACCTGCTTGAGTGTGTTACCTGTGTATTGTACCTGTTGCGTGTGTTACATGTGTATTGTACCTGTTGAGTGTGTTACATGTGTATTGTACCTGTTGAGTGTATTACCTGAGTATGTGTTACATTTGTTCTGCCTACACACACACTCTCTATGGATCATTCCCTGCCGTTATCTTTATTTCTGCCTATCTGTCTACCTGTCCAACTTCCTACCACCGGGGTAAGTCCTCTCATTCAACACTCCACCATCCTTGTAACCTGAGGACTCGTATCGAACCTTCCCCTGTATATTACTTACCATCCAATCCATCCTTCATCTTGTATTTGAGAATCCCGAATCGAATCTCCTCTTAATTAGTTGAAGTAAATGGCCCCTTGGGGGTAATTAGGAGGAACTCTTGTCTCGATATTAATGGGTTGAAGGCAGAGGTGTCCAGTAACGAAATGGCAATACATCGTTCCTTTACTCAATTAATTTTCTGAAATATTTGAGGTCTTAAACGTACTTTACATAATTTTGTACAAAACTTGAGAGTTTCTGGGTTTAGGTAATGTACTTTTTACTTCGTTACGTTATACAAGTCTTGGTTTTATATTTCAAAGAGCTCACCGTGGGCAAAACAAGATAAACTAATCAGGACATAGTAAAAGATGGGTGATACTGTTCAAGCCAGTCATAGGAACGTACCACTCTCCAACCGATTCCCACTGCACCACATACCGCACCGCTCATTAGATGTGACGCCCGTATTAATGATAAAATCTTCCCTTGAAGAGGGTCGTCGTGTTTCAACCCGAGATTTAAACTAAATGAATCCTAAGGGACACTGCAGTACTGTACTTAACGGGATGGTGTGGCGGTAAAATTAACTAATTCCAATATTATAAATTAATTTTATTGGAATTAGTTAATTTTACCACCACACCGCTCCGTTAAGTACTGTACTGCAGTGTCCCTCAGGACTCATTTAGTTTAAATCTCGGGTTGAAACACGATGACTCTCTTCAAGGGAAAATTTTGTTTAATAATACGGGCGTCATCAGCCTCCTCTCGGGCCGAAGGTAGAGCGTATTTTTTAGGTAATTTCCCATTTCTTCTACTCCGATTACGCTTGCTACCATTATATTTACTACCATTATATTTACTACCATTAAATCTACTATTATTATATCTAATACCATTAAATCTACAACCATTATATCTACTGTACTACCATTACGTCTACTACCATTATATCTACTACTATTGCTTCCCGTCACTTGAACTCTGTGGAAGGATTGGTAAATATAATACTAGAGACTGATAGCTGACGTGAAAGTTTATATTCAGTGGTTATGACCTTTTGAACCCGGAGGTCAATACTGTATCGACAAGTAAAATGGGCAGAAGTCATATGAAAGAGAGAGAGAGAGAGAGAGAGAGAGAGAGAGAGAGAGAGAGAGAGAGAGAGACCACTATTGATCTAGACAGTGTACAGTAGAGCAGCACCTCCATAAGATCCAAGATACTGCAATATTCGTCACCTCCACCGGACATACAGTGTTAAACCGCCACAATACCTACGTTCGGAAATCACTCAACATAGACGGTGATTCTCGCCCTTATAGATGGGTTTTTCTCATGCCATTGTGGCTTTGAGCTTTTAGGTGTTTGGGTGTATAACAGAGAATGTGTTTTGGCTTTTGTGGTGTCGTAGTTAATGAATGTCTGTGACCTTTAATGTATTACCTGACACAGAGAGAGAGAGAGAGAGAGAGAGAGAGAGAGAGAGAGAGAGAGAGAGAGAGAGAGAGAGATAAACTCGATCTTGTTACCATACTTAAAGAAGAATTCACACACACACACACACACACATACGTCTCCGTAATTTTTAGACGGTCGTAAGGTTTTTGTTTCCTCGTAACTGGGGATGAAGAGAACCTATCGAAGTACGATCGAGTCCCAACTGTGGTTTCGAATCCATCTTGAATTTGTAGGTTAAGTGAGTCTGTTTAAAAGCATTCACATTTGTCTACATGCCTGTACTCCACTCTGCCTCCTTCTCTTTTCTTCCTCCTTCGTCCTTTTCTCAATTAATTTTTCTTTGTTCCTCATTGATGTCTCCCTCGCTATACCCTCAGTCCCCCCCCTTCCCGGCCATTCCTCTCACTCACAGGCTCTGTCATTCATGCAGGTGGTGGAGGTAGACACACGAATTCTGTCACTCACTATCACTCAGCATTACCCACTGATCTTCTCTCACCCTCAAGGTCTCTCTGACACTCCCGCAGGTGGTGGAGGCGGACCCGTCACTACTGAAGGCACGAGACGAGGACGGCTATACCCCGCTACACCTGGCGACCATTGCAGGCAACAAGGCGGTGGCTAAATACCTGCTCACTAAGGGCGCCGACGTGAAGGCCCTTGACAACGAGAAGCACACCGTCGTCCATTGGGCTACCGGTGAGTACTACCTCCTTTTATTACCATCAACGAACGCCACTACAGGCACATGGTGAACAAAGTTCCGCCTGGTGTTGGTAAAGCGTTAACGCGTTCTTCCATGTGGCTATTGGGGAATACCGACATAATATTTTACCATTAACAAACGCCACTGCAGGCAAACGATGAGCGAATAACTCTACGGGTACGTATACGCATATTCCATTTACCTATAAAATGTAATATCTCTCTCTCTCGTATATACGTATACATACTGAAAAGTTAACAAATATAGCAGCTTTTATCCATGAATTTTGTACATTGCTGCATAGTGTGTACCAGCAATGTGAATGTTTTTTTTCCCTTTAGGTGCATGTATTTTCCATTAATAATAATAATAATAATAATAATATTAACACATCTAAATTAATAAATATATAAACATTTAAAAATGAAGATAAAAAAATCGTACACCGTCTCTCATATTGACCAATTAAGCCAAGAAAAATCTCGTGTTCTTGAAGTATATCTAAAACCATAAGTGTTACGCATATACCAGAATATATCCGTGTAATAACCAGGTTGCATTATACTTAAGTGGTGGGTGAGGGCGGTGATGGATGGGGCCGAGTCATTACTGTAACGGACTGTAACATTAATAGTAAGCTGAAGTATATTGTTACTATAATATGGAGGTGTTGTATCGGCCCTATTAATTCTTTTCTTGAATTTTATCGTTTAGAGAGAGAGGGAGAGAGAGAGACAGAGAGCAACAATAATACAACACAAACCACAAGAGAGAAAGAGGGAGACACAGTTATCTCCCTGGGCTCTGAATTGGATGTCCTCTTCACACAACAATGTCCGCCATATAAACACAGACCAACACAGAATGTGAACCCAAATCCTCCTACCTGACATAATGTCTTTATTTCTTGTCATGTTTAGAATGTTTGGGGGGAAGATTTTCACGTTTTTTTTAATATTTGAGTAATTTAGATAGAATATTCTAATGATGAAAATTTTGGTAAGATTTTGAGCGAAGATCCGAATTTTGAGATATTTTAGGGCGTTGTTCAAAATAATACTTGAATTTTAGAATGTTCTGAATATCGTCTCTTTTACACACTGAGTTTAGTTTTTTTTCACTTTAAATTATTTTATTCACTGTTTTTTCTCCCTTTGCTTCTTTTTCTTTTTATTATTATGTTATTATTATTAGTATTATTAGTATTATTAGTATTATTATTTTCTACTCCACTTACATATTCCTCATCTACTCTTTCACCTCCCCCTTTTTCTCTTCTATTCAAGGCCGCACCAAAATATGTATAAAAAATACCCTCAATTTCCTTAACCCCAATTCTCCTCAAATTGGTCATATTTTCACCCCTCACACAGCCATCACTTGTCTCGTCAGTAACCAAAAAATTACCTTTATTTATCAGGTAAAACACGTAATATTATTCTTGACCTAACCCAAACAAGTGTCTTAATAAATATCACACATGTCTGGGAATTAAAATTGAATGTGACTTAAGAATTTATGCGAAATATGTCTGGGAAATAAGATGTGAAATATGTCCTGGAAATTAAGGTTAAATGTATTTTAAGAACTGTTTGAAATATGTCTTGAAATCTATGCTAGTAAATATGTCTTTTATTTTCTTTTGGTCTTTGAATCAACAAGAATATGTCTTTTATGTCGACAATTAAAAAGTAAAAGTTTGTTTTACAATCTTTTGAAAATCCAACTTTGTGTCGCAGCCTAAATAATAGTTAAGATCTTTTCTTTCTTTTTTAGAATGTATCATTGTGTCGGAGGTTAAGGCAGAGAGTTAGTTGTGTGTTGACCACTACAGTTAAGGGATGAAATTAAACGTAAGGTCTTTTTTAAGTCTATATTTGCGACGTAGTTTAAGATAGAGGGTTAATTGCATGATCACATACCAAGTTAGGGAAGAAATTCAGAGTGAGACTCAGTGTGACTCTGGACCGGGGGAGTATCGTGACCTGGAAGCTGGCTCAAATATTATCAATGTCAAGGACAGGACAGATGTTACACGCTGCTGAGAGAGAGAGAGAGAGAGAGAGAGAGAGAGAGAGAGAGAGAGAGAGAGAGATATACATACATATATAGACACATAGGTGCGTGAATAAAGACATAAACCAGGCAGATAACTATATGTATATTCATAAATATACATAGGAATGGAAGAAACTGCAGCGGGCCTATTGAACCATACAGACATACATGTTTGTTGTGTGTGTAGGGATGTTGCATCACACGATGTATGAGGAGAGCGGATAAGGATAAGTAGGTGTATGGAGAACGTGGTGGAGTGTGTGTGTGTGGAGTGCGGGAAGTACGCTTAGGGTGCGTGGAGTGCTTGAAGGAGGAGTTGAGTGCATATAGAGGAACACTGAGTGCGTGTAGAGGAACAGTGGGTGGAAGTAGAGGAGTGTTGGGTACGTGTAAAAATGCATTGGGTGCCTGTAGTGGTGCATTGGGTGCCTGTAGTGGTGCATTGGGTGCCTGTAGTGGTGCATTGGGTGCTTGCTGTGATGCATTGGTTGCCTGCAGTGATGCATTGGGTGCCTGTAGTGGTGCATTGGGTGCCTGTAGTGGTGCATTGGGTGCCTGTAGTGGTGCATTGGGTGCTTGCTGTGATGCATTGGTTGCCTGCAGTGATGCATTGGGTGCCTGCAGTGGTGCATTGGGTGCCTCTAGTGGTGCATTGAGTGCCTGTAGTGGTGCATTGAGTAAACTTAAGGGTGCGTTGGGTGCGTGAAGGAAGAGGTCAGACAGGTGCATTAGTCTGGTAGACACGCAAAATACTGAGTAATTTGCGGTGGTGAGCCCAAGACATTGTTTACCTCCACCACAACACCGTCACGACACTCTCCCTTTCTTTACCAGCCCTACTGACCTAACTCTGGTCTCTCTCTCTCTCTCTCTCTCTCTCTCTCTCTCTCTCTCTCTCTCTCTCTCTCTCTCTCTCTGTGTGTTTCTGTCTGTCTTGATGAGTTTTCTCATCTCAATTTCATATGTAATGCTTATTAAATATAATCACAAATTCATACAGAGAGAGAGAGAGAGAGTGTGTATATGATCATCTTGACCTTGACCTAGTTTTGGGGTGACGTCATTAAGGACGGGAGGGAGGTGAGGGGGTTGACGTGATGTGAGAAGAAAGAGAACTAGCAGATGATGAACAACAACAACAACAATAATAATAATAATAATAATAAATAAATAAAATAAGAACAAAAACTGAGAGAAGATGAAACAGGGAAAGAAACGAAATGAAGAAAGAAGAAAAAATACAAATTAGATCTGAAGAAAGAAACGACCAATTAAAAAAAAGCGAATATGAAAGGGAAAGAAGTAAGAAGAAAAGTTATGAAAGAGAAGAAGAAAGGGGGGGAGGAGGAGGAGGAGGAGGAGGAAAAGAAAAAGGAGGAAGAAAAAAATAAGACCCACCAAAACACATAACGTCAAAAATAGAAACAGTAATAGACAGCAATAAAACAATGAATATATAGTAAAGGCCAACAATAACATACACCACATTTAACCCCAAACTACCATTAACACCATCTATCATCAGGGTCAAGGTCTGAGTTTAACATTGCCAAAAGTAAATCCACAATAAACTTCTTCTTTTTTTTTGGGGGGGGGGGTCAAGTTTTCAACATGCAATGTACACTGCACATGTTTCTCTAAAAGCTATCGCCACTCACTAGCCCTCGTGGCGAACAGGGTAGCAACTTACATAAATCTTCCCCTGCCAGTACACAGCCTTTTCACCATCAAGACTCTTGCTGTGCCTCCTCGTGTCAACACACGGTAACTGTGGGCCTCGTGGGCCCAGGCTAAACCAGCAGGGGATCTCGGAGTAGCAGTGGGTCCCAGAGGGACAGTGCATAGGCCCACTGGCATGTGGAGACGTCCTGGCACCTACCAACCACTGCCCCACTGCCTTGCGGATTAACTTTGGTATATATAAGGCTACTGGAGTAAACCCCGAACGAAAAATCTGCGGTGGAGCCCCTTATTAGGCAGACATGTCTGATGCGGAAGAGATGACCACCATGGGAACCCAACGACTACACCTGCTGACGAAGGCAATGTATTATGGACAGGCTACTAAGGCGAAACCCATCAAACTGGGCTATCGGCAGTCCATTGCAACTCTCCCTCTCCCCAGACGTTGCAACAATTACATCACTGGATCAGGAAAAAGGAGAGCCAAGATGTGTGGTTGCAGCCTGCACTCCTGCCTTACCACATAAATCAACTCACGCACAGCCATCATTCAGCTCATCATACTCATCATCATCATCCCAAAAAGTACTATGGCAACGGACGGCGACGGAGACAGGCAGAGATGACTTCGGGATGCACATAGGCAGCACAGATAAGATAGTCGTTTATGCACTGGAATCTAGGCAGCAGTGCAATCCGGTCCAGTCTGTTTGACTGAGCAGCCCTTTCGAGGAGCCACTCTGATCACCCCACATGGGGAGGGGGCTAGAAAAGGTGCCTAGCCTGCCTAAAGAACCAACCTGACTGGGCAGCCGCACCTAGTAAGGTCATCTTATGCAATGAAAACACAATCATAACCACAGAATAAAACGAAAACAAACTATACAACCTATTGTGGTCGCTGCATGGAATGTCAGGACCCTTCTGGATACTGGCACAAATGATCGTCATGAAAGAAAAAACCCTCGTGGCAAAGGACCTGGCTAGATATAACATCGACATAGCAGCCATCAGTGAGTCCCAGCTCCCAGACGATGGTCGACTCACAAAACAGGGGTCTGGCTATACCTTCTTCCGGAAGGGTACGCCTGCTACAGAGAGAAACCACATTTATGGAGTTGCCTTTGCCATCCGCCAACGCATCCTACACAGGCTAACTGAAATGCCTGTTGAGATCATCAATTGCCTCATGGCGCCCAGAGTCCCATTGAGTCACTCACGTAATGCCTTTTTCATCAATGCATATGCCCCA